GTCTGGCCCGGAGAGAGGCCTCCAGGCTGCCAGGCAGGTGTAGGGGTGGGAACTGGCTCCTGGCTGCGATCTGGCTGCCCTGGGTGTGGTGGCTGTGCTGGGTGTGGCTGGAGGTCGGCCGAGGCTTGGTCAGCTCGGCCTTCTGTGTTTGGTGACACTGTTCTGCGACTTAACAAACGCACTGGGCTATCCGCAGGCTCCGAGACTCTTCCCTCCGCCCCTTCCAGGCTGCTAGTTGGCTGTCAAAGGGATCCCTCAGTTCTGCCCGTGCTTCTAACCACTGGCGTTTCTTTTGGTTCATTAGCAGAATTTGTCTCTCTCTGCTCACATCATCCATCCATCGGTGCCTGCTGTCTACTTGGTCTGCCAGAGCCCTCGGCATCTCCATCCCAGTTGCTTTAAATTTTCGGGCCGATAACTACGGCATCCCAACTATATCAGAGCTTGGTTCTAACACTTGCTCTTTTTCTTCAAACTGTGTTTTTGCCTTTCAGCAGGCCTTGCAGGTGTTCTTTTTTGGTCGTCAGACCTGGTGCACAGATGAAAGGAACTGCGGTAACTAGGCTTTTGCTAATGAGACGATCAGCTGTGGGAAAGGGAAGTGTCCTAGCTCTGTGATGAGGTCTTAGTCTTTCACTGAGTCCATGTCTGTGGACCTTGAACTTCACACATGCTTCTCAGTGTTTTCCCCCTTTCGGTTGGGACAGGATGGCCAGCGTGGGGGGAGTTGGCTATTGCCAGCCTCCCAGGTCGGTTAGGCTCCGGTTAACTAGTTTCTCCTGAAGACAGACCTAGTTAAGAAGGACAGAGGGCTCTAGGCATTTAAAAATGGTTCCTCCCGTCCCCTCCCCCATCCCCCACACACCAGAAGCACAAAGGGGCTTTACTCTGCTATTTACACAGGGGAACCTGGTGAGCTCTTAGAGGGAAAACCACAGGATGTGGACCCTGGGGATGGGGTCCCCCCTTAGTTTTTCTCTCTCAGCCTTGCTCTCATGGAGCCTCCAGCAGCCCGTCAATGACAGTTCAGGTTTCCCGGCCCAGCCCTGGTTCCCACGGAGGTTTGTGCCGGTGGGTTTCTGCTCTGGCAAGCTGAGATTCTCTGCATTCACTCATTGCTCTCTCTAGTGGGGGCGGGGAACAGTGGTTTGCTCGTGACCCCCTCTCTCAGAGCAATCTCAGAAGACTTATTGTTTACCCGTTTGTCCGGCTTTTCCTTGCTCAGATGAAGTAGTGACCTGTAGCATCTTACATACCGGGCCAGAAACAGGAAGTGCCCCCAGAAGTTTACAGGCATGGATTTTTATGTATGCATTTTTTTTTCTGGGAAAATTGTCTATAGATTTTATCGGATGCTCCAAGGGACTCTGAGCTCTTTGTCACTGAGCCCAGGTGGTGGGTCGAAGGAGGGCCTGGGCTCAGAGCCAGGAGATGTGGGTTAGTGTTCTTACCTGGTTCTGAATTTCTGCCTGAGCCGGACGAGCCGCTTTATTCCAGGGCTCTCTCCGACGGGACAAGAACCCCTGTCTTCTATGGTGAGTTTATAACACGTTCACAGTCATGTTCACACCTTCTTTGGACACATTTTCTAGCAAAAGGCAGAATCTAACTGTCCTCCTTCATTTGGGCCAGCTTTTAATGAGATGCTTTTCACTAAGAGAGGCAGGAATGATGGTGATGTGTGACCCCGGAGTCTAGATTAGAAAAGGGGATACAGCGTCCACCTGGCTTTCACTCACCCGGGAGCCCTCTAGCCAGGTGTCAGTCTGGCCACCCAGACACTGGGGTGCTGGAGAGAGAGACAGCAGGTGTGACTGCAGGGAGGCAGGACAGGTGCGTGCGGGGCCCAGCTGTTCCAGCCCCCAGCCGTTAGGCCCTCCCAGCCAGGAGTTGGGCGTGGGAGTGAGCGTCTTCAGGTGACTTTTGCTCTGAGCCTTTGAGCTACCCCAGCAGAGGCCGGCCCCCTTTGACCATTCACAAGCAAAATAAATGTGGCTGCTGTTTTAAGCCACCAAGTTATGGGGCGGTTAGTGGTGCAGCACCGGGTAATAGCCTGGCAGACACTCTGCCTGCCTTCCAGGGAGGAGTAAGCCTCACCTAGCAGGACTCCTCCCACATGGTAGGCACTCAATAAAACGGAACATGTGTGACCTGAAAAGTGGGCCCAGGTGAGCGACGGTTGGTCATGTGACGGGGTGACCCAGCTACTCCCCAACAGGTGTCCCATTGAGCTAAGTCGCTCTGGGTTACCTGGAGGTGCAAAGCTTCGTCACCCCACCCAGCCGACTGGCTGGTCCTTTGGAGTGGGGGGGGCCTGTCCTCACACAGAAACCAGCTCCGTGGGGAAAGCACTGAGAGCAAGGGTGTTCTGTTTCCTGTTGGCTGGCGGCCACTGCAGGCTTCCCAGGAATGGGTGGGGTGGGCAAGCAGGGTGCAGGAGCAGTGGCTGTGGCTGGGCTGGGCCGCGGTGGTCCCTGCCAGATGCCCAGTCTGCCCTCCTGTATCTTCGCCCTGTGCCCTCACCCCAACATTGGGGGAGCCCCTCTATGCCTCCAAGGATGCACCCCATTATCCTTACACAATTATCTTGTCTATTTTTGGCTCCTACTCCCTTTCAACCAAGGATCCCTCCAGGGAAGGAACAGCGTTCCATTTATTTTGTACTGCCAGACCTTCACGCACACACCGGCGCGAGTTAGCTGTCCGATAGACGTGTGTGTGGAAGGCTCCTGAGCATCTCACCAAGGAGCCCAGGGCCACGACAGAAGGTGGCCATGAGGCAAAGTGGCCCGCCAGAGCTCGCCAGGCTGGCAGCTGAAGGACCATCGCAGGAGCCTCTCCCACCCTCCCCGTGGGGGCAGGAGATGTAGAGAGGCGGCATTCTCGCTTCAGGCCCTGCTTGGAGGTGTCTGTCCTGCTTTGTGCCCTGTAGTCCATGACCAATACTCAGGCAGTCACCTGCCCAGCACTGCCAGTCCGTTCTGTGGTATGGGGGTCTCATGGCTGGGCTCCCCAATAACTCCCTGTCCACTCCTGGGACCACTGCTGCCTGCCAGGCCAGCCTCCTCCACCCTCTGCCCTGTTGCAGCTGGTGGTGACATCCTCCATCTTCCTGGCTGGTGGGCTGTGGAAGCCACAGTCTGATGATATCAGCTCTGACTGCTGTTTTCCCAGAAGGGGGTTTGCTCAGCCTCAGAACTCTGAATCCACGTGAAGATGCTACCGAATAAAAGGTTGAGTTGCCAGAGGCTCTTAGACCATGAAGGAAGGGACCCAGGCTGCCCTCCCCCTGCCGCCTGCATTTCCTATTAGACACAGAGCTTTACAGCAGGAAGGCCTGCGCGCCAGAGCCTCGGGCCGGCGCTCCATCGCCCACCCCCTCCCTTCCCACCGCCTGCCCTGGGTCTGGATGTCTGCCTGAGCAGATGCAATTTAACTGCTACAGGAGAATTATCTACAAAACATAAACTATCAGCATAAAAGCCACCTGTCAGACCCAGGGCTGGGCTGTTGGAGAAGCCCCCAGCAGCTGGGTCAGGCCCCACAGTGGAGGTCTTATCTCTAACACCCACACATCTCCTTCTTCCGCCCGCAATCCCGCAGTGAGAAGATGTCTTGGCCTCTGATATCATGGAGCTACACTGATGGAAAGGCAGGGAAGCCTTGTGCTGTGTGTCATGGCCGTGCCTCAGCGTCCACAGCCACGTGTCCATGCCCACGCTGGAAGGACCCTGAAGTCATGTGCTCCTGAGACAGGGGCCACGTCTTTGTGGAAACGGGGTGGGGTCTGAAGCTGACGCAGCCGAGTACAGGTTGGTTGACTGATCCTGGTGTTCACTCCTCGGCCTCTTGGCGGGAATGGAAATGAGAGAATAAGGAGGACACCGTTCCTGGCTGCCTGTGACTTACGGCTGTCCCAGGGCCCTTCTTCATAGGCCTGTGCCCTGAAGTGGTGGGTGCCGGGCTCCAAGGGCATGACATGATGGTGGGAGTTGGGGGCGTCTCAGGGGAGTAGCTTTGAGGGGCTCTCTGGCCAGCTTGCACCTGGAATGTCTGCAGCGCTTCCGGGAGGAGAGGGTTTGGGTGTGGAGGGAGAATTAGAGGCTGGGAAGGATTTTTCTTGGTCAGATAATGCTGGTCACAGCCTCAGGGCTCCTGTGCCCTCCTTCCTCTGGAGGGCTGGGGACAAGTCTTCCAGGGCAGACCCCTTCTGTTGGAACACATGACTCGTGCCAAGACCCAGAAGGCCAGGCAAGATGAGCTGGGGGGGCTGCTGGTGCCCTGCGTGCCCAGGTGTCCCCGTGTTGAGCCGTTGGTTATTTTCTTTTTCTCTGCGTTGCCCACATACCCCTTCCTGGGGCCTGCCGAACACCCATTTCCCTGGCACAGACCGACGCCAAGGCAGTACATGCAGCACTGAGCTCAGGTGAAGGGGGACAGAGATGCTGAGCGGAGCCACACAGCACATCTGCACCGCCAGGTGGCCCATCCCACTGACGTGAGTGGACTACTTGTCTCTGTGACCCATATCTGTGGGGCCTGAAGTCTGACTCCCTCCCTCTGGGTGCATTTAGGGACCAGGTAAAGCAGAACAGCTGACAACACAAGCCAGTGGTCGAGGGCCCAACTGTCAGTATCCTGCCAGAGGGACAGGAGCGAAGGGTCTGAGGAGTCGGAAGAGAAAGGGGACAGAAGAGAGAAGCCTGAGTGACCAGCTAGGGAGGGTCCCAGGAGGGCCCCCTACAACCAGGGGTGGATGGAGAAACGGAGAGGAGGCACCATGGCAGAGCCGCCCCACCCGGCCTCGGCACGAACACTACGCCGAGAGAGAGGGGCTGTGCAGGTCGGCCTCAGGCTTGCAAGGTGTGCAGCGATGGGCGGATAGCAAGGTGTGCAGTGACGGCGTGACCCGTCAGGGCAGAGGTGGGGGCTCGATGTGGGGTGTGGGTGTGTCTGTGCGTGGGTGCACCCTCCCCCTCCCACGTATGTGTGCACCCCGTTGGAATGGGATGCGCTGGAGAAGCTCTGGACAGGGCAGGCAGCTACCATTATGCACTTACTGAATCCCCTGGAGCCCCAAAGGAAGAGGGTGTGTCTCCACAGAGGGGCTTCCACCGATCTGGGCCAGACACCGACAGGATAAGAGGTGTCTGAGTAAGCACTAGACGTTGGCTGTGTCACTCCAGTCGGTGATGTGAGTCATGAGGCTGAACAATGCCATGGGACAAACAGAAGACACACCGGGCTCACAAATCTCTTTCTTCTCGGCGTGGCATGACTCATAGCCGCCATTTTCCAGACAGGAGCACCCACGGAGTTTCGAGGCCTTTCTCCCCGGAGACTGTGGTATTCTCCTGCAACCCGGAGGGGAGCCCTTTGAACCCAACTGCCCTGCAGTGCAGCTGGAGCTCCGAGAAGTTGAATGGGGTCTGCACGTGCAGAGGTGCTGCGGGAGAGGGGCGGGGATCAGGCGTCCAGCCCTGTGTACTTACCCACTTACCGCAGTGTCTCCAGCCTGGAGCTGCTGGGCGTGTTTCTGCAAGCGACCAATGAGCTGCTCTGCCGTCCCAGAGATGGGGGTGATTGCTTGGGACTCTTGGTTTGAAGCTCCATCTGTCTCCCCTCAAAGAGCCGGGTCAGCAAGTGGAAGTGATGAGGTATGCTTTGCTGGAGTGGACAGTGTGTGTGTGTGTGTGTGTGTGTGTGTGTGTGTGTGTGTGTGAGAGAGAGAGAGAGAGAGAGAAAGAGAGAGAGAGTCCTGCTGAGAATGGCCGGAGAGGGTGGTGAAAGGGAAAAGAAACACTTCCAGAGTCCTCTGTGCTTCAGGAGCACATGGGCCAGTCTTAAATCCTTCTATGGACAGCCCAGTTTCTCTGGCCTGGCTTTGTGTAGACAGGGAGACGGATGGGGGTGAGAGAGGGGTGGGTTCAGCCCCAACACTCATAAAACCTCTTCATCTGAGTGTTTATGGGCTCAGGTCCCTGCGGCAAGCCTTTCAAGTCACATAGCAGACTCCCGTGTGTCCATAAGAGCCTTGCTGTCTGTAGTGTGCTGCCCAGCAGCATCCCGCCCAGGCCCCTCGGGGCCCCTCCCACATCAGAGCCCCTGGGAGGTGGGGAAGCAGGGGACTGCAGAGTCCATCCCTGGGGTGGGGCAGAGGCTTGGCTCCTCTCGGGCAGGGGTTCTCCAGCCTCCCCAGGAGTTTCCACCTTCCCTGATTAGCTTCAGTCCAACTTTCTTGTGGAGGGTAGGCAGCCCCGGTGACAGACATCCCAGGGCCCCCAAGTTGTGTCCCAGCTTGTCCTCATTCCAGGGAAAGCGGGAGAGTGCGTGCACCATGATGAATCCTGAGCAAGAAAAACAGGGAAGCAGAGAAGCCAAGGCGCATGCACAGGATGAAGCTCCCCCAGCCACTTCTGGTACCCATCCCTGCTTCCTAGGCTTCCAGGCCATCCCACCCCACAACCCCGCCTCACATGGTGGCTACTTCCCAAGCTGCTGGCCAGGCCCTCAGTTCCTGCTGCAGGCCTGCCTCCCATTACAGGGTGTTGTCCTGCACCCTTGTATGTGAGGTTCTGGTCTCCTGCACTCTCAGACCCCTTTGCTGCCCAAGCCAGGCATTGGGTTCTGACCCTGCCCATCAGGCTCCTCCACGCTCATGGCTCACCTCATGCTCAGGGATTAGTCAGTGACCTCCCTCCCATTACCAATCCCATGGTGTAATGACTCTTTAACATTCATTTCTCAGGCTGGACCCTTAGACCCATGGCAGGACGTGGTCACAGAGTCAGGTAGGAGTGGACCAGCTTCTGAGACATGAGCTGCAGAGCAATAGGGAACATGGGGTAGGGTGTGGAGAGGTTGCATGCTTCAGGTAAGTCTTCTGGGAGCCTCACTGAGAGAAAGGTCAAGGTGAACAAAGCCAAGAGCTGTCTGCCTTCTCCCTGGCAGCGGCTGAGAAGGAGATCCCTGCAGCCCTGCTGCACACCCCCACCCCATTCCAAAGCTTTCTGGGAAGCGTCTGGCACTTCGAGGAGGGGGGACCGAGGACTTGCATTCGGGCCCGGCTTCCTTCTCTGAGCTCCAGGTCCTTCTTACATGAAAAGGCCCCTGTGAGTACCCCGTGGGAACACCCATGTGAAAAGGCTTTGCTCCTGTGTGATAGTGACCAATTTGAAATATTTGTGAAAATACATCCTCTTCACACCCTGAATGGTATATGTAGCTCAGGGGGTTGAGTGTTTTCCTGCAAACCTGAAGTTCACCGGTTCCATTCCTGGTCAAAGCACACGCCAGGGCTGCAGGCCGGGTCCCCAGTCGGGGACGTGGAAGAGGCGACCAGTGGATGTTTCTCTCCCATGTCGGTGTTTCCCTCCCTCTTCCTCCCTCTCTTCCCCTATCTCTAAAAACAAATAAAATCTTAAAAAAAAATCCTCTTCACAACACGATTAAAACTCACAAAATATTTAGGACCAGCCCTAAAAAGAATGTGAGAGACTTACGTGAAGGGAACCCTACAACATAAAAACAAACACACAAAAAAAGGCCCAAATAAAGGTGGCTATATCCTGGGAAGTCTCAATGTTAAGAAGATATCCGCTGTGGAAATTATTTATAAATTCAGTACAATCCCGATGACCATCTTGCTGGGATTTCTGATTAAAAATGACAAGGTAATTATTAACATTCACATAAAAATGCACAAGAAAAGGCTATTTTTAAAAAGAAGAACAGTGAAGGGGAACTTATATCCTGCCCGATATCAGAACATATTTTAAAGCTATAGGAAAAAAGTGCTGCTGGCGTAAATAAACATTGGTACAAATAAAAGTAAATAAATAAGAAAAAATTAAATTCCCCAACAACGCAGGAATAAACCAACAGACCAATGGAACAGGACAGTGGATGTAGGAGCAGATCCTTGAATACATGGAACTTCAGTGTACGATGAAGTTAGTATTTCAGATAAGAGGAAAAGCATGCAATTAAAAATGGGAGAAATGATGGCAAAACCGAAAATCAAGTTTGAGCCCTACTTTGTACCATTCATAATACTGTAGATTATGTAGAAACTGTAGATTGGTTAAAGAGCAAAACATTTTAAAAAATACCAAAGAATTAGAAAACACAAGAGATTATTTTTATGGTTCTGTGATAGAGAAAGCTTGGGAAATAAATATTTTTTCTTAGATATAGACAGATTATTCTCAAATGTATGTGGAAATGTAAAGACAGTAGCTAAAATAATTCGATAAAAGGAAAACAAAGTGGAAATTAGCCCACCCAGTTTCCCAGACATCATGTAGTGACAGTAAGACTGTGTGATGTTGACAGAGCGAGAGATGCACGGACGGACAGACTGACGGACGGGACAGCACAGAGGCCCCGGCAGGGGCCCCACACAAGTGTGCCCAGCGGAGGTGCAAGAACAGGTCAGGGGAGGAGGGAGAGTCTTCAAGATAGATGGTGACGGAACGTCTGGACCTTCATAGGCAAAAAAACAATGACCTTTGACCTGGACCTCACGCCTTGTGCAAAAGTTAACTAAACACAGAATATGAACTTCAATGTGGGACCTAAAACTGTACAAAGAAAATTGGGCAAAGGTTATGAGAGGATAGTTCGTAAGAGGAATCCAAATGGGCCAGAAACCTCTGGAGAGATTAGCATCTCTCATTCTGTTGGAGAGAGTTTAAACAGGTAGAGTCACTTTGGAGAGCAACTGGAGCATCTACTGAACTTTAAGACGCATTTACCTTCTGACCCAAAAGTCTGCTTCTTGGCGAGTCCGCGGGGAGTCTCCTGTGCCCAAGGCAGCAGGCAGAGTCCTGACAGCAGCTGCTCTTATCATGGCGAAAAACTGGACATGACCCGGCAGCCTTTCACCAGAGGAACGGTCACCTGGCTTCCGGTGCCTCGGCTCCGAGGAACACTGTGTGTGCAGCGAGTGGGAAGCGGAGGGAGCAAGTTGCTAAGTAGCACACAGAGAAGGGTAGACCCCAACCATGTAAACACACACGCCATTTCTGTAGGTAGTTTTCCTCTTCAGTTCCTGACCACAGACCTCAAGTGATTGTGCAACACAACCTAGTCATCCCGAAAAGTTTCCCTAGTAACACATATTCTCTTTCTAAAATGATTATTTTGTGTCTTCTCTCTCCTTACATCTCCCACATCCCCTCTCCTTTTCAGATTCTGCTGATAACTTTGCTTAACCTTCAATCAAAAAAAATTTTTTTAAATAGAATCACTGTATGATCCAGGAATCCTGCTTCTGGGTATACGTCCAAAAGAATTGAAAATAAGATCTCAAAGGCATATATGAACGAGATGTTCAAAGCTGCATTATTCGCAATAGCCATAAGGTTGAAACAACCCCATTATCCACCAAAGGACAAAGGGAGTAAACAAAATGTAGTGTCTCCATATAATGAGATATTATTCAGCCTTAAGAAGGAATGAAGTTTTGACACATGATACAATCTGGATAAACTTTAAAAACACTGCTAAATGAAAGGAGCCAGGTGCAAAAGGACAAATATTGTGTGATTCCACTCATGCGAAGTGCTTCAAATAGGTGATTTCACAGAGACAGACAGCGGAACGGAGGCCGCCAGGGGCCGGCCAGGAGAAGCCGACTGGGGAGTTACTGTTAAATGGGTACAGGGTTTCTGACTGGGGTGGTTAGAAGGATGCCAAAATGGTGAAGGCTGAACTATACCGTAAACATGCTTAACATCGCCAGATCGTAAATGTGAAAAAGGCCTAACATGGTAAATGCCATGTTTTGTGTATTTTGCCCCATCACACACACACAAAAGAGTGAGGGGATTTTATCGCTGTCTTTCTTGCTGAAAGTAGGACCCACCCTGTCTACTAGGGCAGGTTAAAAATAAATGAGCAAACCCTGCCTGTGTGCAAACACACCCTCTTCCCAGTCAGCACCAAAAGAGAGGTGACAAATAAGACATCTGGCCCTAGGAGCCCATCGCTGGGCCGGATGCTGGGGGGCCCTGGGCCCACAGTGCGCATCTGCTGCTCTGGGCTGCAGTGGGGTGGCCCATTTCCAGGCGCTGCGCAGCACTCTGAGCTGCAGAAGACCCAGGCCCCTGGGCCCGTCAGCACACCCAGGACCCAGGGAGTCCCCATGTGGGCCCAGATGACACAGTCTTTGCCAGGAAAGAGGAAGGGGCAGGGTGGTCTGTGTGGGAATTTGTTAACTGATGGCTTGTTCCAGCCCAGCTGCTGGCCACCACATGTCCTGGTTGTAAGCCTGCCCCACGCGGCTGAGGCTCCCATCAGGGTCTGCCTGGACTCCCTGCAAACTAACTCAGGAACATGATAGGGCTTTGGCCGAGGAGGAGATTTTACACATCCCTCCAGACTTTCACAGCTCAGGTCTTCTGCCCGCCACCGGGCGCTTTAGGGAATTGATTCAGCAGGAAACTGAATCTCACGGGGGGGGGGGGGCCCTAACTTGATGGGGCTCATATACTCCTTCAAAAGATGGCTACATGGTGATGGACTTTTAAATGAACCACATTTTCCCACTGATTTTCACTCTAAAATCAGGAATGTGTTCTTCTGGAGAAAAGTAATTGGCTATTTAGACATGATCCCCCCCAGTTTTATTGGGGTATAATTAACTAATGCAATTGTATATATTTAAAGTGTACAACGTGATGATTTGGTATAAATACACATTGTGAGATAATTACCACAATCAAGTTAATTAACACATCTGTCACCTCAGAGTCACTTTTTTTCTTTTGGTGGTGAGAACGCTGAAAACTTACTTTCTTAGCAAATTTCCAAGTATACAATACAGTATTGTAAACTATGTTAGGTCCCAGAATTTATTCATTTTATAACTGAAAGTTTATTCTCGACCATGTATCTCTTCATTTCTCCCACCGATCTGTTCTCTCATTCAATGAGTTTGACCTTTTTTTTTTTTAAGATTCCACGTGTGTTCCACCCCACAGAACGTGTTCTTCTCTGTCTGGCTTGTTGCACTCAGCTAAAGTCCTTCGGGTTCACCTATGGTGTTGCCGATGTCCTCGTTTTAATGTCAGACTAATATTCCATTATAATATGTGTTAGGTACTGTAAATGTCCATATTTTATTATTCTTATAGACCACATTTTCTCTATCTATTCACTTGTCAACAGGCACTTTGGTTGATTCCATATCCTGGCTGTGGTGACCAGTGTTGCCGTGGACATAGGGGGGCAGATAATCTCTTCCAGATCCTGGTCTCATTTCCTTGGGATGCACACCCAGAAGCAGGGTGACCGCATCACATGGTAGTTCTATTTTTAGTTTTTTGGGGGGAATCTCATACAATTTTCCCTAATGGCTATACCAGTTTATATTCTCATCAACAGCATACAGGGTTTCTTTTCTCCACGTCCTTGCCGACTTTCATCATTTCTTGTTTTTTAAAAAATAATAATAGCCATCCTGATGATCACTGTTGATCACCCCTACTAATTAGTGAGCTCATTTTCATGTCCCTATTGGCCATTTAGATGTCTTCTTTGGAAAAATGTCTATTCATCTCCTTTGCCCATTTAAAAACCGCATTCCTGCTCTTTTCCTCTAGTGATTCCTGAGCACTTTTTGTCTCAGTTCCTGTGAGTACGTTAGTATACAAACAGCTCAGAAAGACTTGATCTCCTTAAGATTCGCGTGGCCATTTATTCATCCACCACACATTTACCAAACACCTGCAAAGCAGCTGTCGCTGACGGCATCATGGTGAGCAGAACTGGTGTAGTCCTCATCATCACAGAGGTCTTGTGGGAGAGTCAAACGTCTGGCGAATAATCCCACCAATGTACGTACACAATAAACAGGTAGGCCAGAAATCGGAGCATTTAACAAGGGGCATGTAATGCAGAGGAGACTGAACTGAGGGAACAAAGTGTGAGCTGAGGTCCCACACATTATTCGTTGTTCATTCTTCCACTCTACAGGTACCGTATTTCACCGTGTGTAGTGCGCACCCATGTTTTTGTGTGCATTATGCATGCGATTATCATACCCATTATTATACCCAACATATGTAATCATCACACCCATGTATAATCCACATCCTTATTTTCCCTAAAAAATCTGGAAAGAAAACGCACATTATACACGGCATCATACGGTAGTTATTGCGTGTTGACTGTGCTCTGGGCTGGAGATGCTGTGCTGAAGGAGCACGCTAAAGTCCCTGGCCTTAGGGAGCTTCCCTCTAGTCTCAAATAATGAGTGAAGGCGGGGCCAGGAGAAGGGGAGTCAGAGGCCCTTCCCCTCCAGGGGCCTGAGGCAGAAAGGAAGATGGTGCCCTCCAGGGACAGCCACATACCATTTGGCTGGTACCCAGAGAGAAAGGGAA